CCCCTCCACCACCTTCTCCAAGCTGTCCTGTTTGCAGCCAATGATGGAGCCGGCCTTCTTAACAAGTTTGTTAAGGCTGTTGGTGTCACCAGCTCCAATGCTGCTCCCCCAGCAGACCACGGCGAAGTACAAAGCACTGGCCACAACAGACTGATAGAACATCTCCAACATCTTGCTTCGCACATGGAAGGATCGAAGCTTCCTCAGGAAAAAGAGTCGACTTATCCCCTTCCTGTAGACAGCGTTGATCTTGGTCTTCCAGTTCAGTCTGTTGTCGATGGAGACACCCAGGTACTTTTAGTCCTCAACCATGACCACCTCCTCTCCCAGAACCCTCAGCGGTAGTGGAGCCGTCATCTTCCTCCCGAAGTCAACCACCATCTTTCTGGTCTTGGCCACGTTCAGGAGCAGGTGATTTCTGCCCGCCCACACCACAAAGTCCTCCACTACTGCCCTGTACTCCTCTTCCCGTCCATCCCTTATACACCCTACCACTGCAGAGTCATCACAGAATTTCATATGTACATATTCATATTTTCTTGTTGATACAAAGCCAAAGTGTATGGGCTGTTAAGTCCCATTATTAGAAATAGATATAGATATAGATAGATAATAGATATACATAATCAAGTTGTTGTCTTTTAATGCTTAGTTACACTGACATTCTGTGACTGTTCTTCATTTTTGTATTTCATTTTGATACATTTATTTGAGGGGCCCATCTCTGGTCAGATGTACATGTACCTCTGTACAGTCATGGCGCTTTTAACTCTTGTTGCTGTTATCTTGATATATACCAAATCATTTGATTATTATTATTGATATTTGAAAATTGCCTGAAAAGGGTAAAGTAAATATGGTGAATATGTGCTCCTTCATATTGGGTTTCAATTCAATGGATTTATAGTAATGAATCTTACTTTGGATTTTACAGCATGTTTAGTATGTCAGATCTAAATTTGAAAATGAACTATATTTTCTAAACCCTAATGTCAAATGTTTGAATATTGTTGCCCTAAAAGCTGAATAAGGATTTTTCATATGGTGCCGGTTTTGGCCCGCCCCCTTGGACAAAGCCTGAAGTATCCCTTTGCAAAGCGTCTTATTTTACCACAAGTCTGATAGACTTCAGCACCACTTCAGATGGCTCACTTGTACACACTCGACAAACACATGTTATTTTCCTGCCCTCAAGGTGGTGATAGAGGACTGATCAGTGGAGACACATCCAACCAAAGAGGACTTTAGGTTTCTCACGTCAATGCTGAATGCTACTTATGGCGCTTGTGTATAAATAAATGTCTAGAGGTGACACAGACACATGTGTCGAGGACATTTACATAATTACTGTAATAAAATCAACAGGACCACAGTCACTGAGTGAGTTTCCAATCGCAGACATTTTCTTGCTGGTGTTTATTACTCATAGTGATTCAATACCATACAAAGGAAGGCATTATCTGTTTCATTATATGACTTTATGGTTGGGCACTATTGATTAAGATTATAGCCCTTAGTCTGTAAAATGTGGCTATCGGAATCTCATTTCAAAACTAATCGCAAACATTTTTTGCTGAGAGCATAATTTCTTCAGCTTAAAAGGAGCGTTACGTCCGGTGTAATATCTCATCCACCACCATAATGAAAAACTCTAATTAACTAGTCACCAGGAGATGTCACATGCGTGGACCTTCCACACCTTTTTTTGACCCTTATAAACACCAATGGGCCCCTTTGTTCAGGATCCGCAAGAGACAGTCACTATGTGGTAGTGATTGAACTTCTCTTCAGCCTGTGGATTGCAGAAACTGGCGGATGCGGATCCTCAGCTGACATGTTAACTTTTTAGCACAACGCCTTTTCCTTTATTAAATACTTTCGATTTTAACTTTTCAATCCAAGATGTCCTTTGTGTGCGGAGTTTCTTCATTTTCGAACATAACACTCTCCAAAATGCTCCAGTTATGTGGCTGAAACAAGCTCAAATAAAGAGGAACAAGTGATAAAAAAGAACGTAAAAAGCAAAAATTAGCAACGTTTACCAAAATGTTTTATATGTGTCTAAGTTGATTTCCTTCGGACAATTGTCCAACCTGCTGACCCTGAGGAGAGAGCAGGAATCATACTGGGAAATACACCTCTTGCCGAACTTTAACGGAGAAGACTCCACTTTCACAGTAAAACAGATTCTATACTGAAAAAGTCCAACTTCCAGATGTGGTACGGTAGCTTACTGTTCAGTCAAACTAAAACATCTAAAGATAAAGCTATATGTGTAAAGCACTGTGGCAGTGTGACCGTATCACTGGAATGAATTACTTGGAAATGCACCAATCGAGCCGCGTGTCTATCTGTATGTAATTCTTTCAACATGTAATCCAACCTGACACTTCACTAGATTAAAAATAGATTGTATGTGAAATAAAATGTGGATTTGAGGCTCATCTCGGAGCTCTTCTTTGAAACTAACTGTTCTTTACTGTTGTTGTTATTTGTTTCCCGGGCCACATAAACCTGTGAACTTTGTACCTGGCGTTTGTTCCTGTGTGGAAGTCTTTGTAGGTCCAGGCATCCGCTAATGGTTGAACAATGTTTATTCTGTCCTCAAACAGTATTGCTTGAGTCACTGTGCGGTGGCACTGCATGTTTAATATCATTATTCACGGGCAATCTGTGTTTCACCCACACACACAAACCACTAAACCCTTATCAGAACGTTGTCCCTTGGTAAATGCTTGATTTGGTGTGAACACTTTTGTTTCTAATGCGTCTGCAAAGATTTAAAAGAGCTTATTAGAGTGACAACTTTAGACATTTTGATGCCTGATCATGAGTTGAACTGACTGCACAGGAAAGGGACATGTAGAACTGAAAATATTGTGGCATAAATGATTCTTGACAAATTATTTACTGACAAATCAGTGTTCAAAGTGTGAACATCCAGAACTGTAAGTCTGGAGCCAAATTCTGCTGTTGATCTTCATTATCAGTTCGATGTCATTAATCTTTGATTGTATCTGTTATCTATGTACACAATCACCAGAGGTGGGTGGTATTTATTGCCTGTGAAGGGTTTAAAGTCTGTGCCATAAAAGCAACACCTTTTGTGCGTCTAGCCTTAGTTGCTAACCCTGTTTAGTTTGCACATTTTGCTTTTTGACAATTATTTGAAGGAACATTTATTTTTGAATACTTTTCAAATCATGCATCTCCAAAATATGCATCTTCGGTCGTGATTTTTGGCTCCCCGGATTGTATATTTCTCTCAACTGTTCCATCTGTGTCATCAAATGTGTCTAACAGCGTACACTGTGTTGTTCATACTGCAGATGTTTTACCACATCCCTAAATCTATTAATTTGATCTTTCCCTTAAGTGTATATATAAAGAGGGTAAGTTTACATGTTTATATGTCTACCACATGCTCACACACAATGCTTTCTTTGGTTCTCAAACATAACGTTACATTGTTTTGGTAGTGCCAACACGTAATTATGAGCCATACAAAGTGTTCTGGCAACAGAAAAGGTTTTAATGATGTATTCATTTATTACATGTTATTCATTTACTCTGCGCTCCGTAATGTTACTGCTCACCTCAATACAACAGTTATGAGTTACAACACATTACATGCAGATTATTCATATATTATTCATATAAAGAGAGTAATAAGAAGAATGCTGAAAAAATTACAACTACTAATATATTATATCTAATATCAGCAGTGGATATGGTAGATAAATAATAACAACAAAAGCAGTAATAGCATCGGCCAAAGGAATAGCAATGCGACTACTGACAAGGATAGCAGCTGGACGGTGTCAGATAGAAACACCATCCACGGAAACCTGTGAGGCAAAACAGCACAAAAGCTGTTGGGAAGAAGCAAAGTCAGTAATGTGGATTTATGAGATAAATAGATATCATTTTAGGACCTGTAGAGTCAAGCTCCCAAAACTGTAGATCCTCACAATCTGACAATCTGTAACTGCACAAAGTCTCTCGGCCCACGCACACGTTATTTCCATCGGTCTGTTATGGAAATCATAAATTCATGCCAAGTGGAAAGTGGCTGACCTTGGTGTAAATGGCAGCAGATCATTAAGCAGCATGCCATCAGATATCAATCATTACGTTTTTTTCCATCAATGAGCGTGTTGTGATAGAACAACGACTATTCAAAGTCTCCAGTCAGATCTCACTGTTTGATTATAGTCATTTTGATCTGCCGTGGGTTTCACGCAGGTGTTACTGTTTCAGTGAGTAAGAAAATAAAGCACTTATAAATTCACACACTGGCACAGATACACACATTAAAAAACCACAAAAAGGGAATATCCCCATTATCCAATCCCCAAACAAAGAGATCCACTCATATGTGTCGGTTCACACATCTCCCATGAAACCGCCCTGAACTGTGCTCGATTGTGGACAAACAGAGGCCGGCATTACTTACACTTTATTCTGGGTAGACAGATTGATACGATTGTACTAAAACCAGTGATAAGCCCCCCCCTTCAACCCGGCCCCACCCACCCAAACACACAATGCAAGTTTCTGCCTCTCATTAGTTTGGTCTGTTTTGCCTTTAACTTGGAGGACAACCTTCTATTTTTTCCATTGATTTTTTCTTTCATGTTTCTCCAAAATAAGAAAAAAAAACAACTCAGTCCTGTTTTTAGATGACTCATGTAGAGCCTCTCATGCATTTACCCTTCATATTGGGACCCTGAACTTCATGGTATTAGTGAGCCTTATCAAAACACTGACAACAAAAATCTCGGATTACAACCCTTGGATTTTCCTGTTCCTGTCCACATCCTCCCCATCCTGTACATCGGTACAATATCTTCCGATCTTTGGGGATGGAAAGTCCCCACTGAAAGTTGCAGGTCACAGATATCAGTAAGAACAATGGTCAAGGATAAGTCAGGTGTCGCTCTGCGAAACAGGGACTTCATCATAATTGCTGTCAATAATTACAGCCGTGATAAGCGACAGAGCTGGCCTTTATGGATAGGAGAGCTGTCAGAGGCCCCAGTTGATCTCCAGAACCAGCAAGAGGAAGGAGGGACGAGAGGAGAATCTGGATTGGAGACAGTTTAGGATACCGTCAGGTATGTGGGACGTATTGTTTATGGCATGAAAGTTACTGGGAAGAAGAAAAATGTTGAAATCAGAGGATCTTTATACGGAGCCTGAATTCCAGAGGTGCTGGTGTGCTTTGGGCTCCAGCTGATGTCGGCAGATCTGGTGCTCTGGTTTCTAGAGCTCAAACAGAGCCGGCCAGCCCCCAAAGCTCCACACAACTGTGCAGGTTCCGACCTGGCTCGTGTGCCCTGCTCCTATTTGGGGAGCCTGGACCTTTGTTGTTTCCTGTTAATGCTGTTTGGTAAGCGATGTTCAAAGTCAACACAAGACAGTCTCCCTAACCCTAATGTAATCGTTGAATGTCAGGGCCAAATAGAGGGGCAGCAGCAGTGCTCCGGGGGCAGTAGAGGCAAGAAGATGCGACGGGGAGCTCAGCAGTACGTAGTGGCCAGGCCACTGTACTCGGAAGAGTCCTTCGCCGAGGACCATGAGACTGTCTACAGGCACCGCAAGACCATGCTGGACCACATCAAGCAGTACTTCACGTGAGGGGCCACGATGCTTTTTCTTTTGTCAATGCCTGAAGTCTTTTCTTTATGGAGGTTAAGATGAAGTTAACATGAAAAGTGTCAGTGAAGTTAAGTGGTTTCAGTTGTCTGCTCTTGGTTCTTGAGCAGTCATTTTTATTTTGCTCTTCTGATAGTATTAAAACCTACATTTTTTAAATTTTTTTGTGCCTCAATTTGAACCTTTTTGATTTAGGTCAAATTATAACAATTTACGTGAGATTTTGTAAAATAAAATCAAACTTTTGCACCCCTTACTCTAATAGAAAATGTGCAGCACGTCACAATATGTAAGTGTGGACCTACGAAATGTTAATTATGTTTTTTTGAATTACTCACTTTATGGTCCTCACTCTGGTCAACCATATAAATAAGGACAAAGAGCATGAGACATTCCTAGAAATGTAGGGAGTAATTTCTGGGTAAAGCAGAAATTACTTGACGTTCTTGAGATAAGTTATCTAGTAAGGTAGGTATGCTAGAAATGTATTTCTTTAGTTGTCATAGTTGCAGAAAAAGTTTGAAAATTGGCTCATGTTGTGCGCACCGTGACACTATGCATTACTTTAGCCCAACCCTCAAACCTTGCTTTCCTCCCTTCAGTCTCACCAATATTCTCCTGTTCTTTTGTATTTCTTGTCTTTGCAAATGATGATGATTCCATTATACTTTCAGTATGACCGACTCCCACCTTCACTGACTTTTAGCCTGATACTCTAAATGCAGTCAGGCTGTTTTTTCAAAGATTTCCCCAAGTTGAAAAACCTGGAGCTGTGGAGATGATAAGCGTTCCACCCATCACCTATTTAACATAGATTTCCGATATCTTTCTACCGGGCCGTTGCACAGATGTGACGCCAGACGAGCCAAGAACACAGCTCTTTCTCTCCTGCCGGTCATCGCCTGGATGAAGATCTACCGCATCAAAGAGTGGCTGCTCAGTGACATCGTGTCCGGCATTAGCACCGGCCTGGTGGCTGTGCTGCAAGGTGAGCGTGTGCGTGTGCTCAGTAGCTCAAATACAATTCTATTCTCCCATTTCTGGCATGTTTTGGTGGAGTTTTTCCTGTGCTGACGTGAGCGTTCCAGCAAAGAGGATGTTCCTTGTGTACAGACTGTAAAGCCACCTGAGGCAGATTTCATATTTGTGATTTTGTGCTGTACAAAATAAATGGAATTAAAGAAAACAACTAGTACACGGAAGTTGACAATACCTTTCATTGGAGTCTCTTTTACATATAAATACAAATAAGTCTGATTCCAGTAATCATATTTTGAAAAAACCATGGGTGATCTCAACACAGTGTTTAAGAGACCCAAATTCTTGGCACATTATGTGTCTGCAGCTGCGATGTCACGGTCAAAGCAGCCAAACAGAGAAAGGAGGCACGTAATGCCGAAAATGCATTCCGACCAACCAGATAGAGCAATAAAGATGAAGCGTTTTCCATTAGAGGGCCTCATTCCCACTGCATGACCTCACCAAAGGGAGGAGACAAATGCATCTTCAATCACACAGCGTTGGTTTCGGTAGAATAAGAAAAACAACCTGTGTGAACATTCCAAGGGAGGTGAGATCTTTTACCGTAACTGACTTGCCTTAAGGGTTTTCACTTTACCCAATTGATTTGGTTTTATAGAATAAGACTGTGTGTGTGTGTGTGTGTGTGTGTGTGTGTGTGTGTGTGTGTGTGTGTGTGTGTGTGTGTGTGTGTGTGTATACCAGCAGATGTAAACATCACTATAAAAACTGAGAGGTAATTAAACCAATACATGATAAAATTATATAAATATATTGTCATATACATCATCCTGTATGATTGTGACATATATTGAGTTCCCTACCTATCACAAGTATTTATCATTTACTGTTGTGTATAATCTAATACTTGTTCAACACGGGAGGTAATACTTGATAACCTCCCGTGTTGTTATCTTAAGCACCAGGTCAGATTACAGCATAATGTGTAACATGTTGTAAGTGTATAAATTGCCAGTAGCCAACAAGGGAAATGTTTTTTAGCATTTATATGAGACATGGTAATTCGTAGTTTCAGAATAGGTGCTTTATTATTTTGTTCAAAACATGAGCAACAAGCAACAAGTCACGACGTCTTCTATAAATTCACTGTGTATAAATTATCTTCCAACCCAAATTTTTGAAATTATATCTTGTTCACTACACACATTAACAGAAAGCAGAAATGTGCTTTTCTGGGGGTGATGTATATAAAATCAAGTGGTTTGTAGTTTTGAAGGTACTTAAAGTATAGGTGCGGGTGACACAGTGACTGTATAGCTAATAGCAACTATCAGAGCCGTCATGTGAATGTGTTCTATGTTTCAGGTCTGGCCTACTGTCTGCTGGCCTCTCTACCTCCCTGGTATGGACTCTTCTCTGCCTTCTTCCCCGTCGTCCTTTACTTTTTCCTGGGCACATCCCGACACATCTCAGTGGGTAAGGTTTCTATGTGTGTGTATGTGTGTGTGTGTGTGCGGGGGGGTATCGCCGCCATAGATGCTCTCTAAAGGCTAAAACTCTACTCATCTACTCTTTCTCTCTCTTTGAAGGTCCGTTCCCAGTCTTGTGTCTGATGATCGGCTCGGTGGTCACCAGGTTGGTCCCTGACGAGGGTCTACCCCACAACATCACAGGCTTTGAAGGCCTCACCAGAGACGAACAGAGAGTGTTGGTGGCGTCTTCTGTAACCTTCCTCGCCGGTATCATGCAGGTGAAACACACTTTATCTGCATCTGAGTCTTCGTTTCAACCCTCAATGTGTTTTTTCACAAGCCACCACATCATCTCCACTACATCTCTTTCTCCTCCAGCTAGCGATGGGTATCCTGCAGGTGGGGTTTGTTGTCATGTACCTGTCCGACACCCTGGTGTCTGGCTTCACCACGGCGGCCGCCGTCCACATCTTGGTGTCCCAGCTCAAGTTTGTGTTGGGGCTGACTGTCCCAGGCCTCAGCGGTCCCCTCGCGCTCATATATGTGAGTGCGGAGCCGCCCGCTTCATCGCTGTTAATCGCATTCCGCTTTTATCTGCTAAACTTTTCGTCTTTCAGACCCTGGAGATCATCTTCAATAAAATCACCTCCACCAACGTGTGTGACGTGGTAATTTCCTTGACAATCATGGTGGTGGTTTTCGTCGTGAAGGAGCTGAACGACCGTTTCAAATCCAAGCTGCCCGTGCCCATCCCCATAGAGGTTATCATGGTGAGCTTCACTCGGCCTCCTTATCCTCCCATGTATTTTTATTGGCCTGAAGAGTGCTGTCTTTAACAATCATTACTCAGATGTATCAGATCATTTATGACACTTCAAAGCTTTCAGGGAATCATCAGACTTCATCGGTAGTTAACGAAGTAATCTCATTATGCCTTGAATCTACACAACACGTGTTTTCTCTCCTCCAGACTGTCATTGCGTGTGGAGTTTCATACGCATTTGACTTCAAGACAAGATACGGCATTGACGTTGTCGGCTATATTCCAAAGGGGTGAGACATTTTATCTAAAAGTAAGGGATTTTGTGTGTTATGTTCATGGCAATGCCATCAGGAATAATTAAGCCCCCCCCCACACTAGACAATCGACCTAGAGCGAGATGTTTAACTTGCCATGGCTGCTGGTTTAATCCATTATGGCAAATTATATAAAAGTTATGTTTTCACATTTTATATTTTGCAGCCATGTCAATAACACAGTTGTCATAGAAGAATTACATTTCAGGTTTTAAACGCATATCTTTTAAATTACATTCCATTAACCTCCAATTAATTGAGGTCTAACTTCTAACAATTTTTGTGTGTTTTTAAACATCTCAATTCCCATTCATTTTATTTCAGAGAATACATGGCTCTCTGAAATCAATGCGACCGCATCAGGACAACAATTAGATTCTTACTAGGACTCTCACTATCTGCTGTGGCAAACAGTGTCATGGTCAATGTATCACAGTGCATAGATAACGAGGGTGTAAAAAACAGTATCATGGATCTCTAAAGCTACAGCTAACTAGGTTATCTGAGATGGAACTGAAAATGAAGTAGAGAAACATTTCAACACAACAGCATCAAATCTGTTCTCAGGTACGAGCCTCCGATGGCACCGAACCTGCACATCTTCCAGGAGACAGCAGTCGAGGCATTTCCCATGGCGATAGTGGGTTTCGCTGTTGCCTTCTCCGTGGCAAAAGTCTATTCAGTAAAACACGACTACACTATAGACGGAAACCAGGTATGCAACGACTCACAAATCTGCAATGCAAGTAAGCTGGGAAAGTATAATTGTTAACATACAAACTTGAATGACGAGGTTGTTTTTTCTGTAGGAGCTGATAGCTTTTGGAGCCAGCAACATATTTGGAGCTTCCTTCAAGTCGTTTGCTGCGAGTACAGCCCTCTCCAGGAGTGCAGTGCAGGAAAGCACAGGTGGTAAGACCCAGGTAAACTTCCCCTAAAGGCAAACATCACCCGTTAGCCAGAACAAGCAGCTGTTTAGCTTATCAAAGGGACTGGAAACAGGTGGGAAAAATACATCTCCTAAAACACAATATATTTGTTTACACTTTCCTTTAGTACAAATTTGACCTCGTTAGATATCTGGCACGCTGTTGAGGTGATTTGGTGGCTTCGGACTGAGCCGGGCTAGCTTTTCAAACTCCCTCATAATGATCTAACTCTGCGGTATCTATCTAGGATACCCCAATGATATTCTCATTTGGTTCGTGTAAGGATAGTGTACTAAAATGTCCTTTTATTTTGAGATATAACAAACCTCTGACCAACATGTTGCAGTACAAGGAACCACGTGTCTGCAGTTTTACACAGCTGCTCTGTACGTCTGCAGGTGGCTGGTTTACTATCTGCTATCATAGTGATGATCGTCACACTGGCCATCGGATTCCTACTTGAGCCGCTCCCCAAGGTAAACCTCAGAGCGTACTCGCTCAACCAACAATTGAGTGAAGTCTTTGGAGTTGGCGGTGGCTGAAATCTAACTTTTGACCCCTAATTTTACCAGTCTGTGCTGGGTGCTGTGGTCATCGTCAACCTAAAGGGCATGCTGATGCAGTTCAGAGACGTCCCGTACTTGTGGCGGAGGGACAAGCCAGACTGTGTAGAGACTCACTATCTTACTCACAAAGATCATTTTAAAGTTTATTACATTCTTCTCGTGCTAGCAGCAATGAAAAAAGATGCTGTGTAACCATTTTTTCTTCCAATAACCTTTTTCCAGGTGGTGTGGTTGGGTACCTGCATCGCAGCCATTTTGCTAGGGCTGGATCTCGGATTGGCTGCAGGCCTCGGCGTGGAGCTGATCAGTGTTGTCCTCAGGGCTCAGTTGTAAGTATCTACTTGATAAATGCAATGCATAAACTCTTTCCTGAGCAGTTAAAATCTTTTCTTCATTTTCCTCACCAGCCCCCGCTGCAGTGTGCTGGCCAACATCAATGGAACTGATATCTACAAAGACCGAAAAGATTATGTTGATGTAAGTTTGAGTGATTGTGTGTGAGTGTATTCTGTCATATCAGCTAATGTTTAAGTAACAGTTTGACATTTTAGCACCACTGGGGTCAACAGTCGTCAGCATCAGATAAAAAGTGAGACGTTTACTGTTCAGATCGGGGATATGTTGAATGTGAATGATAAGCTCTCAGTCTGAGCAACCGGTGGAGTATATCAAGCAATCTCGTTGATAGTTCTGTGGTGTAATAATATGGGTTGATTCATGTCCTGTACTTATTCATTTGAGAATTTCTTTAAGAATTCCGAAATGGTCAATTAAAGTCAGCAGCAAACAGAAAAGTCGACCAGTCCCAGGCTTCTAATGGTTGTCAACTCAACAAACTGTCATCGTGGTCATGGTCATAATTTCAGGAATAAAGGTCTCATTACTCTCTGCAGATATATGAGCCAGAGGGAGTGAAGATCTTCAGGATACCATCACCAATCTTCTTTGCCAACATTGAGTTCTTCAGGAGCAAACTGGTGGAAGCTGTGAGTAAAAAAGTGACAACTATATTCATGTGGTGTGGTCTTCAGGCAGGTTTTTAAGCTGCTGTCAATCTTCATTTTAGCTTCGTGAAGCCAAACCTATTTACCGCTAATCACATCAAAAACAGAATACCCCATCTCTGGCTAAAGGAATCCACCCAAATGTTAAAAAGAAACTTTCCCGAAAGCGACGGAATTGGAAAGAGGGGATTCCATTTACTTAAGGAAATTGGAAAAGATTCAATGGAAATTGATCAAATGGCAGTTAAAGATCCAAAAACATCTTCTTTCTTTAAACGATTGGTTCAAGTTGAATGGTCTAGGCTGCACTTAACCTAAACTTCAGTCTAAAACCTCTAGCTAAGACTAGAAAATGCATTTCCTGCTGAAAATGCGTTGGAATGCTAAAAGCTGAAAGCTGAAATGAAGTTTTAAAAATAGCTGAAAATACAGAAAGTTAAAAGGGAATTTTAATACATTTGCTGAAATGACAGATATTAGAAAAGCTGAAATTAATTTGAAATTGCTGAAAATACAGAAATTGGAGAAGCTGAAAGGAATTCCAATAGATTTGCTGAAAAAGCAGAAATGAAAACAGCTGAAATAAATTAGAAAAAATACAGAAATGAATAATAAAAGACTGCTGTTAATACAAAAAAAGAAAAGCTGAAATTATTTTAAAGAACTGTTGAAAATACAGAAATGGGAGAAGCTGAATTTCAATAGAATTTTAAAAAAATACAGAAGTTGCAGGAGCTTAAAAGAATTTAAAGAAATACAGAAATAACAAAAGCTGAGATGAATAAAAAAAGGTTTTAAATTGTTTGTAGTAATATTAGTGGTGGTATTAGTTACAGTTGTAATTGTGGTATTAGCAGTACTAGCAGTAGAAGTAGTAAGTTTAGTAGGTAGTAGTAGGTTTAGTATCAATAGCAGTAGAAATAGCTGTACTACTAATACTATTAGCCATAGTAGTATTTGTAAATACTATTACTATTAGTAACATTAGTAGTAGTTGTAGTATTAATACCAGTAGAAATACTGGTAGTACTTTTTATTATAGTTGTACGAGTAGTACTATCAGTTGCAGTGTCACTACTAGTAGTAGTAATAGTATTTTTAGTACTAGTACTAATAGTAGTAAGAGTACATTTAGCATTAATACCAGTTGAAATACTGGCAGTGTTAGTTATGGTAGTAGAAATATTAATTGTAGTAGAGAGAGGGGAAGGACTAGAGAGATACAGGCATACAGACTGACTGAGTGAACATTGAACATTTTAATATTTGAATGGTTTTAATAGCTGAATGTGTGAAGGAGTTGAAAGGTGCAACGAAAGAAATAGAAGAAGAAGTCGGAATAAATATTTATGCTGAAGCAGCACTCTAACAATTAGGTTTAAAGCCTGGGTTGGCATCAAGGGTGCTGCACTAAGTTGGTTTTATTCATAGGTGATTTCTCACATTACTGCAGTCTACTGCATGGCTCAATTTTAGATCTAATTGTATTCCCCATACATGCTCCCACTTGGTCAAATCTACCATCTCTTGTCATTGCAATGCAGACAACACACAGATATTCTTGCCTTTAGTCCTGATCACCCTAGAAGCCTTGTTGCTATTTTGGATGTCTGTTGGATAGCTCAAAATATGTTTTTATTTTAGTCTCCACTAGTTATATTTTTCTCAATTTGATTGTGTTTTTTCTTAATTGTTTTTTGTTTTCGTTTCTTATTCTGTTTTATTGGAGTTGGACCCATATCTTTTCCTGTGTTCGTCCTGCTATGTCTGATAAAGCATTTTGTAAACACTGATTTTATAGAAGCCATGCAAATATAGTTGATGTTATAAAAGAACAGAATTCGATGAATTTCTTTTTGAAAACTTTTTAAAATGCTAATTGATCTATTTACTTAGATAGTTCAGTTTGCAACACAGCATATATTTCACACCCATGTGTTCCTCAGGTTGGATTTAACCCCCTCAGAGTGTTGAGAAAGAGAAACAAAGCACTCAGGCGGATCCGGAAACTTCTAAAGAAGGGAGACCTTCAGTGGACATCAGTGAGTATTGACTTTGACTTTGTTCGGTGCCTCTTTCTTCCTTCTGCCTTCCTTCTCTTGTTTTACATTGGAATACATTTTATTTCATTGTTGAAATACATTTGAACCCAAATACATTTCAACTCAAATTATATAAATGTCGATTGACATATTGATGCTGAAACAATTTAGTTAAAAGATTTGGAGAGCATTCGTTTTTGCAGTGTGCAAAGTTCACCTCAACTTATCTCATATGTGATTAATGTGTCAGCAGGACACGGTGTGATGTGCAGTGTGTTGTGTCTGGTTTATCACTTTAACTTGTCCTTGACTTGCCGGTCATTATTGCATCTCTTGGAATTAAAAAGATGGGTCAATAAAAGTAGAATACTAAAAAGTACAGTTATAAACCCCAATAAGTACAATCCTTAATACAAGGAGTGGATGTAAACATTTGACAAACATTTAATTGAGAATTATATTATATATAGAATGTGATTTGGAGACTTTATTCAAGGTTTTGCTTGCCGCTGACCAAACCAACTTTTACATCTGGGCTGACCATTTCTTTATTTTTTCACCAAATTTTCAGGTTTTGACCTCATTTTTTTAGCAGCAATTGAAACTTCGGATGAAAACTAGTGGCTGAATTGTGTTTGACTGTGGGTGAGTGGGGAGCGCGTCGTCCTCCAACCAGAGGGTTGTTGGTTCAATCCCAGGCTCTGCTAACCCGCATGTGATGTGTCCTTGGGCAAGACACTTAACCCAACATAGCTCCTGTAGCTGCGACTACAGTGTGTGAATGTTAGTTACTGATGGGCAGGTGTCACTGTGTATGGTTCTCCTGTCAGCAGTGTGTGAATGGGTGTGAATGGGTGAATGATGTCATGTAGTGTTAAAGGGCCGGTCATAGACTGCGATGTGTCTCAGCTCTGTGTGAACCAAAGGCAACGGAGAAAATGTTAGGACGATACTTCCTACCATTGCAGAAAGGCTTCCTGAACACCTCATGTGGACCCATCAAAGAGTCGGAGGATGAGAGCAACATGGAGGAGCTAGATCTGCCTACTGACTTCAAGGACCTCCCGACCCGGATCGACTGGAGCGCCGAGCTTCCCGCCAACATCATTGTTCCCAGAGTCGACGTCCACAGCCTGGTCCTGGACTTTGCTGCGGTTTCCTTCCTGGACATCTCTGCTCTGAAGGGACTGAAAACAGTGAGATTATCAATCATGATTGCAGTATTTATTACTGGACGTCACTTCCATATTATATATTCAAATGTTTTCATTGCATCTCATTTGGTTTATCGTTTGACAGATGCTGAAAGAGCTGATCCGGGTGGAAGTTGAGGTTTACATTGTGGCTTGTGATCGTGAGTATAAAACCACAGTATATAAAGTAAAAACTTTTTTTTTTTCACTTCCAACACAGACAATACATTTTTGAAATTTGTTTTACTGCATTAGCCTAAGGGAGACAGCCAGAGAAAAAATATATATTTTTAAGGTTTAGTATGTATGTATGTATGTACGGACAACATGGACAAAACCCAAATGCGTTTGACCTCTTGTAGCTTACATCTTGGAGAAACTGCATGACTGTTGCTTCTTTGATGATGAAGTTCAGCCATCAATGTTCTTCCTGACTCTGCACGACGCCATGCTGTACATCCATGAGAAACATCCAGGGTCCACAGAAAAGAAATCTGACTTTGAGAAGGTAAGAAAGACAACAACATGACACAATATGCATATGTATACATGTAGTATAGTGTCATGTTTGTTTCTTTTCTCGGTATAATGGAAAGGTTTATATATACTGTATATATATATACTGCATATACATAAGAGGAGCCTTCAGGACTGCAGATATGAAAAGGATAATAAATGCTTCATATTGCTGTGCAGATTATAACAACGGTGACAGTTCATCAACCTGGAGGCAGCTTGAGGAGCAGAGACAGACATGTGGGTATCATATACTATACTTTGTGCTATTTGCAATTGAATAATTTATTTCAATCATGTTTGTGTTATGTTATATTATTTGTTTTATTTTGGTAAGACAAGCCCCAGGGAAAACTATCAAATGCTCCACAGTTAGAGATCTTAATAATAAGACAATAGGCAATAGACTAGATAACTCGAATGGGCAAATGTTCAGGACGAGAGACTTTCAGCTGAAACCCCACCTGGCTGAGGTGTTGCTCATCAGCTGTCAATCAACATCTATATATGTGGGTTCTAACAACTGTACAGTGACACAAAGCAGCAACTACAAATCTTCATCTATCCACAGCCGCGAGTCCATTTCTGTTTTCTGCCATGGCAACAAATATCACATTTGTAGGAATAAATAATTAGCTGTTGTTTTACTACTGTTGACTTTAGTATCCAATACCAAATGAAAACAAGCCCTCTGAGTCTCACAAGCTTTTTATCGCCTGCAGGTTGTTTTTGTGTTCTTCTGCGGACAGACTTTTATAACACAAAAGTTGTGTGGACGGAAATTCATTTATAAAAATATCTGTCCACGTATAAACAGGTCCTAAAGGGTTAACAGATGCCATGTTCAATAACTCCGTCTATCTTCTTCAGGCTCCATATCCAGAAACCAAGTTCTGACTTCCGAATAAGAAGATGTGGATTTCTGAGAAGAAAATCCCCAAACCGTGTACGAAATAAAGATTAATTGTTTGACAAATCACTTTGTCAACTACAATACACAGTAACGAAATACTGTTTTTATACATTCAATGATTTGAGTTTACATATACAGTATTTACTGTAATGTAAAAACTTATGTATGGAATTTATGTTTTTTTTAAACTGTATATAGTGGATTTGTGGGAAATGTAGGTGCAATATATTTTACATTTTGTACAGTTATATTTTCATGATTAGGGGAAAAAATCCCAGCAAACTTGTCTCTAAAGCAATGTGAAAAAGACTGAATGTGCAGCGGCTGAAATATGGAAATAAATATTCCTCCACTCTAAATGATTCCATTCAATGTTTCTAGTTTCTAATCGGCATTATCAAAACTTTACGGCTGCTACATTCATACTAGACATAAAGGCTGGACAGGCTGGTTTGTTTTATCCTCGTTGAGAATCTGGCAATAGGCACCACTAAAGCCTCAATATCAATGGACATGTTAGGCTTAAGGATTTCATGAAAGCTCACTTTCACTACTGCTTCTTTCACCATGACATTGCGTGCTGATGATTAAATTACCAGTCAGGGGGGATTTGAAAAATGAACATAATGTTTAAATAACCTGTAAAAACGTATCAGGACTGTGTGGGGATGGTTACATCAGATTTTATTGACAATATTTAGTCGATTTAAAAGAAATGTTTTGGTACGCTCTGATGAGCGAAACTTATTTCTGCTCTATTACTTGAAGTTGAAACCATGTCATACAATTTCTGTCTGTCTTTTTGTGTTTTTTACTCACCTTCTGTTGTTTAATCCTTTTAATATCTCCTGTATGTTTCCTAGTTGATCTGAGGTAAAGGATACTGAAGAAAGTCATTTCTAAATAAGAGTGTTATAACATATAACCTAACATAATAAACGTTATATGGCACCCACCATGCTATTCTCTGTGGCCCTAAACCTGACAAAACAACTACTGGACTTACCTGAACCTCTGCATCACTCGGCTGTGATTACACCACCACATTTGTGTTTGAAAAATGTTGCCCTAGCCCAAAAATGCTAGTGTTCATTCCTCTATGGATATTATTAAATGGACTGCAGCCCCAATATGAAATACAGCAGAGAACCCAAATATCTCTGCTGCATTTCTTGGTCCCACTGCCTCCATTTTGATAAAAAAAAAAAAAACTGGAGTGTCCCTTTTCATAGCTAAAAAAAAAGAAACAAAGTTATTGTTTCTTTGCGGCTGATGTGGTCTTTGTATCAAAAGCAAAGTTGAGCATTGGATTTTCAGTTTTGGAAAATAAATGATAGTAGTTGTATAGATCTTCAAGCCTCTCTACATTTACACTGACGTATACAGGGGCCACTGGTCGATCAGGACCAACTAAAATTCTCCCAACAGCAATTTGGGGGTAATTAACTTTCCTTAGACTAAAAACTGAGCCAGGGATTTATCCACCAACCTTGTGATTGATGGACAACCCTGCTGTACCTGTGACACTACCACTGAGGCACAATCACCCCAAAGACTTCAAACAAAAAATACTCACCAAAACTAAGCCAAAGAAATCCCAACGTTTTAGAATACATTCATAACCTTCACAGAACAAAGAACAAAAAGCATATGAGATGACATATCAACACTATGAATCATAAATCTGTGTTAATGATTGACAGGAGCCGGAACAAAAGTGACAAGTGATTAGATTAGATTAGATTAGATTACACTCAGATACACCTGACGGCAAAGCCGCACAAAAGATTCTCCTCTCCAGCGTGAGGATGGTGACGTTGAGGAAACAATATGCGGTGGCCAGACCCGTGTACTCAGAGGACAGCTTGGCTGAAGATCACAACAAAGTTTACCGGCAGAACAAAACCATCGTGGACCATATGAGAGAGTATCTGACGTAAGAGAACGCCGCTTCTTCAGAGATTCACATACGTCTCTGAATTTTGTGAATCTTAGTGAATTTCAATCTTCTGCAAAATAGGTGTCTATCAATGAGGTTTCAGTAAAACGTTGTCTAAAGGACATTTTTTGGAACCTTTACTTCGAAAAGTGATGGAAGACCTTCTTTCATGTCTGTTGTATCCAGCTGGGATTTGAAACGTGCCAAGAATTCAGCAGTGTCTCTACTGCCCATCATCAGCTGGATGAGGACCTACAGCGTCAGAGAGTGGCTGCTGGGCGATGTGGTGTCTGGGATCAGCACTGGAATGGTGGCCATTATGCAAGGTGAGAGATCCAGTCGCCTGCATTCAGAGAGACAAAAATTCCAGTCCCATGTTACTTGTCCTCCAAAGTTTATATATATTGGGTCGGTATACCTAGCAGTCAAGCTCTGTTTACACCTTTACATTCATAAATTCATGTGATAGAAATATAAGCCTTTGCATAGCAGAGATATTTGATATATTATTAAAATCTTTGTTCTGTGTTTTGCTGTTGTCTCTCTCAGGACTGGCCTTCTCTCTGCTGGCCTCGCTTCCCCCGAGCTACGGCCTCTACACAGCCTTCTTCCCCATGCTAACGTACTTCTTCCTTGGTACTTCAAGACATATATCCGTAGGTATGTTGTGCAATACTGAGTCAATAAAAAAATGTTTTTCAATAGAAATTGAAACCAGAGGAATTTTCATAAACGTGTAGCACTTTGGGACAAAACTCTTTGTTTACCATCTTCTCATCTTGTTTTTAACAAACTGCCCCCACTTGCTCCTCAAGATCTAAAACGGGCTTTCCGTGCTCAAGCAAAACCATTTCACTCTAAAAGTTGAGACATTTCTTGGATCTTATCATCTTGGTAAGATTGAGTAATATAGCTTTAAAGTGTATCACCACCCCTCCGCCCCTCCTTCATTCAGGCTCTTTTCCAGTCCTGAGCCTCATGGTGGGAGCTGTGGTGACACGCCTGGTGCCAGAGGTTGGACCACCAGCCAACATCACTGGCTTTGAGGACCTGACCCAGGAGCAGCAGAGAGTCCTAGTGGCCTCGTCTGTAACCTTTCTTATGGGGATATTCCAGGTAGCTCAGATCCCATAGCATAGCTTACTGCTTGTTCAAGAGTGTTTTCGAGCTACGCTTTCTCGTTTCTCTCCATCCTGTGCAGCTGGCGATGGGGATTCTTCAGGTGGGATTTATTGTCGTGTACCTGTCCGACACTCTGGTGTCCGGCTTCACCACAGCAGCTGCCATACACATCCTGGTCTCCCAGCTCAAGTTTGTGCTCGGGTTGACCGTTCCAGGCATCAGCGGTCCACTCTCTATCATATATGTAAGTCCAGGATGTATCTAACAAACTTTTTTTTCTCATTATTTGAAATTTTTGTGAGTTTGTGCTGTTTGAAGCTACTGCCAGCAGCATAAAGCTGGAAAGAGGACTGTCCACGCATCTACCAGCGCCTAAAGAATTTACTAATTAACATCGTCTTTGTTCCGTAGTCTTTATGCTAAATTATGTTTACCATCTGACAGACGTTTCTTCATCTACCATACACAAGAATGCTCAATCAATCAATCAATCTTCCTCACATCAAAAAAAGGATACACGGTTCAGTTTACAGCCATTGTACGGGGTTAAACAACCAAAAGCAGTCCCAGTTTGCTCAATTTGAATCCCAGTTTTCACAGATATTTCAAGGGTAGTTTTGGGGGGTAAAGTCCTATTTTTTTGGCTCAAAACTAGTCTCAAAACAAAACATGGGCAGTTTTCCTTTATTAAGCTTAAGAAATATGCTTTAAAACTAACAATACCTTTTTGATGTTGACTAAAGAGCGTTGCCTTATTTTGCACAGACATTGAAGGAGATCTTTGACCAGATCACTTCCACCAACATCTGTGACCTGGTGATGTCCATAGCGATCATGATGGTCGTGTTCATCGTGAAGGAGCTCAATGACAAATACAAAGCCAAGCTGCCTGTTCCCATCCCCATTGAAGTTTTCATGGTGAGGGAAACCTTGAAGGCGGACATATCATTAGGCATTCATCCTGCTTGTGAACATTAATGTGGGTGTCTGCAGTTTCTCTCAACCCACAACTCACAAACTGCGAAATATGACAATCATTCTTTTTTCAGTCCAACCCTAACAGAAGAGACGGGATTCAGTAAACTGTTCACATTTCGCTCCCTTTTATAAGTTACATCTAGGCTCGATAGAATAAACCGCCAGAAGCCTGAGAAGAACTATTGCAGAGGCGAGCCATGTTAATCAGAGCAGGGAGGAGGGGCTTAAGGAGGAGGTGTTAGAATGGAGCGTTTCAGAAAGAGGGTGGATACAGGTATATTCAGATGGACAGTAAGAGAAAAAGAATGTCTTTTATGGACATTAAAGAAAGTAAACATGTACTCATAACCTGCAAACGGGTCGGATGTGTCTCCTTTAAAGGAATATACAAGTCCTACAGCATTTCATTTATTAACTGCAAATTGTGCATATTTTAGAAACTATTCTCCCAAGAATAGCAGTTTATGTGTCAGTTAACACCGTCACTTCCTGCTCACACAGACTGTCATAGCTTGTGGGGTGTCCTATGGGTTCAACTTCCAGACGAGATATGATATTGACGTTGTTGGCAAAATGGTCAGTGGGTAAGTTGTTCTACTCGTCTTCAGTGGATCATAGTTCAAAACCAAGCAGGCTGCTGTTTCTTAGGTTACTCAGACCCAGGGAGAAATACTTCTTTGTTTGTTTTTGACCACTTTTCTTTGTACAGTCAGGATATAAAAAGTAATTAGTAACCACAGCTGTCAGATAATTGTAGCGTATAATATTTCCCTCTGTTTCTGATCTTCAGATGTACAGAGCAATGGTCAACCCTGTTCAGATCATATGAATACACAATATATTTTGCAGATATGAATCTCCCATTGCGCCCAACGTTGAAGTCTTCCAGGAAAGTGCTGTGGAGGCCTTTCCTATAGCCATAGTCGGGTTTGCTGTTGCCTTCTCTGTGGCCAAAGTCTACTCTATCAAACATGATTACACGATTGATGGGAACCAGGTGATATATGCATATATACATATAAACACTAAGAATAACACTCCTCGTATTTCTGCTCTTTAAGATCTATAATTGCGTTGAATCATTTTTCTGTGCCGCATGATGAAAAGTAGGTGAAAAAGAATCATTGAAGTCAAATTATAAAAAGGTCAACTTGTTTCATGTTTCACCCCAGGAGCTCATTGCATTTGGAGTTAGTAACATATTTGGCGCAAGCTTCAGGTCGTTTGCAGCCAGCACAGCGCTCTCCAGGACGGCCGTGCAGGAGAGCTCGGGAGGCAAAACACAGGTCAGAAAAGCAATTTTGGATTTTCCTGCGTCACAAACTTTTACTATCCCACAACAGGTGGTTATTTTGCAATGTTACAATCTAGTTTATATAAGGTGCTTTCATTTCATTGCCATGGGAAGATGAAACATTAACATTTTACAAATGCAGATTGCAGGCCTGATCTCAGCTGCCATGGCGATGATTGTAACCTTGGCACTTGGCTTCCTGCTGGAACCACTTCCCACTGTAATGTAGCAGCTTATACCAATAAGTACTACATTTTTACTGTTTGGTCAAATGTAAAACTTTACGTTAGAAGTCAGCTGTTTTTTCCCCCTATATATCCTAAATATTTGCCTTCCCTCCAGTCGGTCCTGGGGGCCCTGGTCATCGTCAACCTAAAGGGCATGCTGGTGCAGTTCAGAGAAATCCCGTACTTGTGGATAAGAGACAAACCAGAATGTGTAAGTGTTGTCTCATAGTTTACCGGCAAAGCTAAGCGGTACCATACATACGTACCATCTGTTGCAGGTGGTGTGGGTGGGGACATGCCTGGGTGCCATCCTGCTGGGACTGGATCTTGGCCTGGTGGTGGGTCTGGGTGTGGAACTGCTCACCGTGGTCTACAGGACTCAGTTGTAAGGACACGAGTTGAAACTGATATTGGTTTATTGATATGGAAACTAGTGAAGTGCCCTCAGGTGTGTCTGCAATGACCAAACAAAAGGCCAGATAGCAAGTTTATGAGACGGGTCTGTGTAATGACGCAAATACATATTAATTCAAGCAGCTCTGCGTTACTACACTGTGTAACTACGTTGCTTAGAGCTTCATGTTTGCTCTCAGTCCTGCCACGTGTTTAGTTCTGTAGGTCAAAGTTGGCACAAGCATTCCCTGTGGACTGTAGGGAATGCGTTGGCTAGTATTTGTTACAGTTGGAGCGTTTGTTATGTTCATGGATGATGACGAAGATTGGTGGAAGGCTTGTAATAAGTACAACTCAAATGGCAGCCTTCTTTCCGGTGCTCTATATGATAGAGTAATTATATAATTATAATGTCCTGATAATGGAAGAAAAGGGGGAAAACCAGTAATGGAGAGTTGCTACCTAAGAGCATAGACTATATTCAGAGGTGGACAACAGTCCACAGTGACGTCACACATTGGTTTTGTGGATTTGAAGCTTTGAGAACTGACCCAGGAGGCTGGAAGAAAATAGATTCAAATATAGAACAAAACATTTTTAGGAAATCAAAATGCAACAACTAGCTTGTGTATATGAACGCTGTATTTAACTGTGAACTGTGTATTTTCAGTTGTAAGACAAAAACACGGACAACTCCACAACCGCTGTGGTAGCCACTTGTCATTCACAATGTGGCCCTGCCCTAAAATGTACCCTGTAAATATGTCCACATCTGACTCTAAATGGACCGTACTAACTAAATAAGAACACTTGAAGCTAGAGATTGGTGAGGAGATTAGAGACCATTAAGGTTTATGAGAGGAATAAATCAAGAGATTTTTCTCTTAAACTTTTATACAACCATATGTCGCCCCTGGTTGATAAGAGAGAATGCAGGTTTCGTGCTTTACTTGACAGGATTGGAAGTTGCCCCCTAGTTGAAAGTAGCTGGGGGTCCACAGTCAATGAAATTTTACAACACATCAATGTAGATCTGTTGTAAATACAATTTCAGAAAGAGTGTATAACTGCAACAAGGGGAAGTACTAACTAATATTTGACTAATGTTTAACTTTAGTGATTCTAAACAACATTTCTTGAATCTCTTCATGTCTTTATAGTCCCCGCTGTTCTGTCCTGGCAAACATCCCAGGGACCGACCTCTACAAAGATCGTAAAGATTACACGCATGTAAGCATGTTAAACGAAAAATCTTAAACACTGATAAATAGTTTCAGTTGAAGTTGCGACATCTCTCTGAATCATAGTTGTGATGCTTCCCTTCTCAGATATCTGAAATACCGGGAGTGAAAATCTTCCGGATACCCTCGCCTATCTTCTTTGCCAATATTGAATTCTTCCGGGACAAGCTGGTAGAAACTGTATGTAGCAAACATCCACTTTGTTTGTCCGTTTGTCCGTTTGTCCATCCCACAAAATACATTTGTAGAATCAACTCTTTGTTTTCCAGGTCGGGTTTAACCCTCTCAGGGTTTTGAGAAAAAGGAACAAGGCTCTCCGGAAAATCAATAAACGGTTGCAGAAAAAGGAGGATGACGTTACAGCGGTGACACCTCAAATATACACTAGTGCAGCAGTGAATGCTTCAAGGTGTTCTTCCACAGAAAGCTCTAAGTCGACTGTCTCACATATGTCAATCAGAGGGGCCCGGAGGAGTTATTTGGTACCACTGATGGGTCAAGCATGAACGTGGACGGGCAGGAGCGTCCCTCTGACCTCAAAGACCTTCCTTTCCGGGTGGATTGGAGAGCAGAGCTTCCCGTTGACGTCACTGTTCCCAGAGTAGACCTCCACAGCCTGATCCTGGACTTCTCTGCTGTGTCCTTCCTGGACATATCTGCTCTGAAGGGACTCAAAGCGGTACAGTCATTCAGGAGGCTCCAACAGTAGCCTCGTGATTCTGAGAAAGTGGCCATTGCCTGTAGGATGGGATGTTTTTATTAGCTATAGTCGACACAACTTTTTGTGTGGCCCAAACAAATAAGACTACAGCCTGAAACTAGTGGTCATTTTCATTTAATCTACTGGCTATATTTTAAACTAATCATTTCATCGATAAAATATTGCAAAAGTTTAAAAATAGTATTTTTCTAAAGCCCAAGATGGTGTTATCGCTGTTTACGATATGCAGAAGGACCCACATCAAGCAGGTGGTCAACACACATCTGCCTTATTTCATTCTCTTCTTACGTTAAACTCACTGGATTTTCCACAGGCACTCAAAGAGTTCATCCGTGTAGATGTGGAGGTTTACATCGTCTCTTGTGATGGTGAGTCTCATCTTAGCTGCTGTGACAAGGCATGCACTGTGGATGAGGTGAATAATACAAAATAAGCCACGGCCCCGTTTCCCGTATGTTGACAGAGTGCATCCTGGAGAAATTACACAGCTGTAGGTTCTTTGATGAGGAGATCCTCACCTCCATGTTCTTCCCGACCCTTCATGACGCCACGCTGCATGTGCTAGACAGATCAAAGGACAGAAGTCGAGGCTGGGTGGTAAGCTATCTGCGCTATAGATACTAGTGTCTTGTTAAGACAACTAAACATGCATGCAAACACAGTACAGCAACGGTCAGTCATGGAGAAAAGAGGTCAGGTTTAGAATCAGGTTGCCACTGGAGGAAACGTCAGAAAGGTCACTAAGCCTTTGTTGTTAGAGAAGCATGGGGTATTTTAAGAGCCTAAATTCAAACAAATCAGAGAGATTCAGTGAAATACATTCATGTATGTACGTTTTATGCATGCAACGACTCATTATTGAAAACTAACCCTACACACTTTCTCCTCTTTGCAGTTGAGTGAAAGCAGACTGTAGCAGAGCCGATGAGTCCAGGAGCAATCCTTTCACACCAAAACGCTTCTCTTCATCCCACAACAACACCATTAAAAACAACTATTAAACAACTACCATTAGTAGTATTTTTTTCCAAAGGATTTTCATTGACTGAAAACAAACATGACAAAAACACGAGGACAATTACTACTTCAACCTGACACTTCAAAATGACTAAATGTGTTACTTTATAAGTTCAAACGGTCTTCGCTCATGAAAAAGTTTTAACCAAAAGTTACCAGCTACGGACCATTCAGTCATATCAAACAGATGAGACGCACCTCTGCTGTTAAAAATTTATTGAGACATAGTTTGCGTCTTTCAATGTACAGTACATATGTGTGGATTCAGCTGACATATATACAGAAATATTTACCATACGCGATTAGAAAAAAGAAGAAAATAAAACACATTGCTGCACGTCTAGTCCAATGCAATAGTTCAGCAGGAGGTTCAGTACACTTAACTAAAATGTGCAGCACTGACACATTTCTCTTGGGGGGGGAAATGTCCTAGAACCCTGAGGTCTACGATCACATTACTTAGACGAGTGGTGTGGCGGTTGCCCATCCGTTCAGTTGAAGGTTTACTGATAATAAGGCCGGTAGCGGCCCTGATCTGGGTGGTGGGGTCCAGGCATCTGGCCTTGGGGAGGACCCTGCATTCGTGGTGGTGGAGGCCCCCTCGGAGCGGGCCACATCCCGGGGCTGACCCCTCCTGGCTGGCTGAACGGGGGACTGAGGGTGCCTTGGTCTTCGGGGAACTGCTGCATTGAGTTGGGGTTGTAGTGATGAGGTGGGGGGGCGTTGACTGGGGGGCCACTGTGCTGTGGTGGTGGTCCTGGGGGCGGGTGGTTCATATAGGGGGGCATTTGGGCCATAATGTGCCCAGGCGGAGGAGTGATTGGAGGGGGAGCTGTGGACATTGGGGGGGGAGGGGCCTGGTTGTACACCATGTGTGGCGTACCAGAAGTCTGGGGAGGATGCTGCATGGGGTGATTGATAGGAGGGGGCGGGGGTGGTGGGGGGCCGAAGTGCTGCTGCGGTGGGGCCATCATGTGGTGAGCGTGGGACACCACAGGGGGTTGACCGGGATAGTCCCCCGGGTGGTGGTGGGGTGGCTGGCCGGGCCCCGGACCTCCAGAGAGCGGCTCCCGAGAGGAAGAGTCATCTTGAATGGGCACTGTGATGAGATTGCTATGCTTGCGGGTCGTCACTGTGGAGATGCGAAATGTCTCGGGCCCAGGGCACTGGGGGGCGGGGCTTCGTGGGCTGACGGCAGGGGCGGCTGACTGTAGGGGTCGTGACTGCTGTGCTGGAGCGGGTTGGGCAGGTGAACGTGGTTCTTGGGAAGGTGAGGGGGAGGCACGCGGAAACGGTCGTCGGATTGGAGGGGCAGGTGCGCTGGCTCCTGACGGCCGGCGGATGACTTGGCCGCCCTCAGGTGGCGGTGATTAACGTGGGCCTGCAGGTCCCGCTGAGACAGGTAGGTCCGCTTGCATCCGGGCACGACGCTGCACATATAAAGGGAACCGCGCAGGCTCTGTTCAATGCGCTGCACCGGGTCCGTGCAGTTGTACATGGTGAGGCTGAACGGGGACACAGAAACCAAATGAACGTGTGAGGGGCCACATTACAAATGCCTGCAAGCAGATCACTGCTACTTCAGGGGTTAGTTAACATGTACAACAACTTATTTAGAGGGGTGCAACGGACCAGGAAACTGACCTTCGAGTTGGTATACAAGAGCAGCAAACACTCTACAAGTTAACGTTTTACGTCTTAGAAGTTCCATATTGCTGTAAAAAAAACATCTTCACACACAACTGGACTAAATGCCACATAACACATTGAATATGATTAACTGAATATGAACCCATCAGTACGTGCTATAATTGACCTCCTGACCAGCACATGAATGCACCATAATGTAACTCAAAAATAGAAATTCCATGTCAGCTGTTAGCTCAGCGGCTGGCGCACAAGCTACCTAGCAACATAAACAATGATTTGTTTATCATCAGGGACCAGTGAAAGCACTAGTAACAATCTCCAGACGACATACCTATATTGAATATTGTCCTATAACGACCGGCAGTACATTTTATTTCACACGATAAGTGTTTAATCAATCTGCTTGTTTGATTAACATGGGTGCTGACCCATCAGAGCAGCCATATAATCAAGTAAAGCATGTTACATAACCAGTGATTCACAAGTCAAAATCTTGAAAATAATGTTAAGAATAGGAGGTAAATGGTTGAAATGTCAGGAGGAAATCTCACCCAGGGCACATCTTATCTCCTTTCTTCTCATGAAGCAAAGCACAGTCGTAACAAAAAACATGTTTGCAGGGGATCTAAGGAGTCAGAATACAAGAGTTACAAAAGAACATGTCTCTGTGGCAGTGTGCAGAGACATGTCGATTCAGTGATGATACACACCATTCGTCCATAAAGGTGGATAGGAAGTCCGCATTTATCACAAAAGTGAATTGGTACTTTATCCCTTTCACCGATCAAATTCAACTGTTGAAAAGAAAAAAACACAGGTAACTACTATAAAAATATAATCCATAAGAGTGACTTGGATAGCATTTGGACCATTGAGAATTTGTCAGCTCAATCTTTGAAAATAAGAAAACAAGTTAATTGTTGAAACCAAAACATTCAGTAAAACCTATCTGATATATTTTTCTAGATAAAATAAATATCAATGCTATCTCTGTCAATCATATCTGCTGTTTGATAGGTGGTTTACCTTGTAGTCCCAGAACAGTGCCTGGGGGAATCTCCTCTGAGTTGCAAACACATCACCAGATTTAGCTCCACAATCAAACCTCTCCTCCTGCTTGAAGCCAAAGTTATCTGTAAAACACAAGAGACAAATGTAAATGTAATTATTAATTGAGTGGTCTCCAGAGCGGTGATCAAGGAGTTAGATGGGCCAGGGAGAAATATGGATAGCTCTTGAATATAAAATAACTAGAATATTTTCAGACCAAATCAATCAATCAATCATCTGTTGGAGGTTTTAAAATAATAAAACCTTCCGATTTTATTTAAAAAAATGTTTATGTATTTATTTAAAACCACGCTTTATTGAATATACTTACCGTTATCGTATCTCTGTTAACAGTGAATGTAGTAGATTGAAGCAATACTGACAAGAGACCTAAGGAAATAGATGTCGCTTCAGCATCAAGCACTATCATTTGAAATGATAGGGAAGTTGCTGGAAGATAATTCTTGCTCACTATGTCAACTTGGACTGAACATCTCTGCAGTTTAGAGCCTGACTGCTTGGGATGTCGCTCATTAACTGAACTTTCTTGGCTTCAATACTTTCTAGCTACAGAAAGACCACAGAGTCTCTGATGATGTAGCTGCATTAGCCGGAAAGAGAAGGCCGGTGGGGACTCAGGGCGTCAAATCATCTTGGTCTCAGCAAGCAGAAGAAATCAGCTTTCCCCGGTCAATGCAGCACTCGCAATCACATGAAAGGGGGCAGAGTGACACAATGTTCAAGTAAAACTGCATTTAATATAACAACTGGGGAGACTATTATTTGTGTTTGTAAAATCTTCTGTAGGTTATTTGGGCCGCTGTCTACTAGGATCATTACGGGTGATTTAGTGGCACCGCCCGGTGGTGCAAAGAGGAACTGCACAACGTCGCCACCGTTTTGTTAAAGAACTAGAAAAAGAAAAAAAAAATTATTCATCTAATGAACCTGTGCGTGAATGGAGAGGAGTGAACAATTTACATTTTCTTTAGGAAATTACACTTTTTGCAAAAGCGAGTCCTGACACCCCCAGTTAAGATAATCTAAGTAAAACAAGGATGTCCAAAACGTTCTTTTTCACATGAACTGCTAAAAATATTATATAGTCAGAATAGTCATACGGGTAGCCGGGAAACCAACCGCCAACATTGTGGTTTAAGTGCGACTGAGCCACCGCTGCCCTGAGGACATCCGACACACCGCCGACCCCCCTAGATAATGGTAGATAAAACACCTATATGTGCTTCACAGCAAACCACTTTTTTTCCCAGCGGGACAATTACAAACTCAAGTGACAGAACAGGAGAGGTACATGGGCAAAGAGGAAAGGAGGTCAAACTTTGAACCACACCATCGCTGACAGAGACAACAACTGACGGAGCTTTCACACACGTAGCTTCCCATTGATGACTTTTAGTTGTGGTGCAGTGCATGTTCACAACAATTAGTCAACCAAAAAAATATTATTACGGATTTTTATTGTTGCCGCATCGTATATTATAAAATCCAGAGCTACCGGTAATTACCATTCAGCATTGAGAGCTGCACTACAGGAAGCGCTGGGGCCAGTATCGCTTCTATTAGTCTTTTTGCACCATGGCAAAAGAGACGTTTTTTGAAGTTTGAAGAATGTGGAAGGACTGAAAGAAGCGAGAATGAGTATTTCTTCAGCAAAGAAAATGAATCTGTACAATGCAGCATCTGACAAACGGAATTGGCATTCCACAGCAGCGCTACGGCAACGCATGAACATTCAAAGCCATCACGTCTTCTCCGGATGGGAAAGTTTTAGTTAACTGCCTAAGTAACGCTGGCCTTGTTAACTTATTGTAACGTTTACATGTTGGAAAACAGAACGTCTCATGGATGCTTGCTAAAACTATTTCAGTTATATTAAGTGCAATCTAGTGAATCAACAGAGTAGCTTGTCTTTTCTAACGGTCTAAATAGTTAATAATCGCCTCCACCTGGAGAAAATAATTAAAACAACAAAAAAAAAACAGTCTGCTTGGAAATGCCCTAGGACCCTAGATTCAATGGTTTGGTTCGCATCAGGGCTTAAGCCTAGCTTATGCTTCTGCGTTTTCAGAGCGAGGCAGACGCAAGAGCCCCTTGCGTGTCCCATGCGTCTTTTCATACCTTCTTGCCCTCCTACAACCTGCCAATGACGGGTTGTTTAAGCGGGTTGGATTCATGGAGGGAGATCTCCGCAAACCCCACACACAAAGACGTGACTCTCTGAGTCGTCTTCAACAGAAACACGTTACTCCACCTGTTGTTCTGGCGGTGAATTGCTCTGCAACACACGCAAGACTTTTAGAACCATGAATTGAAACGAGTGCGTCGACGCAACAACGCAAGCGCAGAAGCATGCGCCAGCCTTTACATTACATCACATGTCAATTAGCAAACGCTTTTATCAAAAGCGACATTGCTTTTTTAACAAATAGTTTTTACATTTTGCCCGGGGAGCAATTAGAGGTTAGGTGTCCTGCACAGGGACAATTCCACATGGAGCAGCCAGGGTTTGAACCGCCAAACTTGCAGTACCCGGCGCATCCTCTCTACTCCATGCGCCACGGTCGCCCCTATTGAAAACATTTACATCATCCCAAACAAATTGTAGTTACGGGTAAGAGAGACCTGCTTAACCCAAATGGTGTAGGTGTGAAAGCGCAGCCTCAACTGCAGCAGAATGTGCCTACCGTCTTCTCCAGTCCCACTTTTAGATGGCCTGCTGCTGGGTCTCTGGGTGCGGGGTGGAGGTTTGCTCCTTATGGGCTGCTTGGATATTAGTTTGATGGGGATTTGTCTGCGGACATCTGGGCCACCCAAACTCCCAGAGCCGTCACTTCCTTGAAGATCATTGTCTGCCGATTGAAAACACAGATTTAGTTTTTTTAAGTATACATATTACACAACAGTCGGCAGTGCACACGTTTTATACGACTTTTGATTGTGATAAAACATAATTAAAATGAGCAGTGGGGGAGGTGAAATCCGAAGGAGAAAGGCTATTTCTTGTTATATTTTAAGGAAAAGGAATTTCTCTTTTCAGGACCGTTTGAGAATTTGCTTTCAGGGGAATATGGTCCAAATTAGGGTGTGCAACAAGCACCAAGACCGGGTCTGTGATGGTGGCACCTGCCTGTCTTACAAGGCTCAAAGTACGAAGTGAGAATAGCGGTCGGTTTGTCAAAAGATTTACACGTTATGTTAACTTAGTGACATATCGAATGATGTCGTGTAACTTTGGGCCGCGTTAACAAGCTACACTGACATCATAGAAAAACAATTTATTTACTATGGCCTAAACGGTCTGCCTTTGCGACAATGATCTTAAAGTACATATTTACACATATCCGCAAACATTCTTAAGATATCCAATAAGCGATGTCATCTTTTTAGACGACGTTAGATTAGTTAGCATTATGCTAACGTTGATGAGGTAACTAAGTTAGCATTCGCGCCGCAATTCAATGGAGGCTAGCGGTTACGCCTACTAACAAGGAAAACGCAGCGTTTGCAAATGAATACATATTAGAAACTGTCTAAACACGTTGGCAAAATGCATGTGCCATTATATGTCCAGGTTTAACGTCACGTAACGTTCACGCATTGTGCACACAAGCGTTCTGATGTTCTAGCCAGTTTTAGCTAACGTTAGCCTGAACAACGCTAGCTTTGACGCTTCTCTTGATCTAAATTGGATGTCGTAGCAGAATAATGTAACGGGAGGCTTATATGTTGTTGTCTGATGAGCTGATACAACAACTACAACTGCGGAGTGAAAAATATTACGTTAAAGAAGTTTGCTAACGTCCGCCCTACTCGGTATTTGGCTTACCGCTTTGGTCCATGATCCAACGAGTGAACGCAATGCATTGTGGGATAGACGACGCTAGGGGCAGAGGTGAAGGGAGAGTAAAGGAAGGAACAGATGAATGAAGGAAAATAGGAAAGCTGGTAAGTGATGAAGACAACATGATTCAAGAGAAAAAAACAGTGCAGAGCACATACTTTCTACAAGAGCTGGCATAACCTCTGAAGCCAAAAGCTCGGAGAAATTGTTTATCATTCATTGGAGATATGAAAACTTCAATATAAATAAGTATTTGTTTAAGGAACACACTTTCAAATACTCAGATTACTCAACAAAAAAAAACTAATATAGAAAATTCAAACTGGATGAACAATCAAGACTAAATGGAATTTATCAGGTTACATTTTGCAGTAGGGTTGAAGAAAGATAAGTCCAACAAACCTTGACTTGTTATTTTGATTTACCAACTGAACATGTTGAGGATCAACAGGGCATGATACATTAAGATAGAGGGGTTAAAATATTTCAACCATTTTAGCGCTATTAAAATGTAATTTGGGTATTCATTTGCTTATACACTCTTGTAATTAAAGACCCCGTATGCACTAAACATATATTTACTTATTGCATCAGTTCTCAAACTGCTGCCAAAAAAACTTTCAATCCACCTCACCTAATTTAGAAAATATAGATTTACATTGGAACCTATTTCACACGTCTTAGAATTGTGTCCAATATAAATACAAGCATTGTATAATTGGAATCTCCTAAAATGTGAGGTGACTTAACCTTGGTATGGAACATATTTAAGTTGAATTTGGTATAACGGATTAACAGTGTCGCAGCATTCCGTACTCCGAAGTGCTTTGCTGTGTTCAGTGCACGGTCTGAAGTCCGTGCACGTACACCGTGTAGCTCTGCTGCGCGCTCTCGTAACCAATGTCGCCATTTTGATTCGAAAAAATATGACTGAGTTTTTCCTGCTTTGCATGCTAAACTTAGCCCCGTGTTTGAAATACTCTGTGCGTGAGTACGGCTCATACACTATATCTGAAATAATATCGATCGTTCTTAATGCCAGGTAGACATTAGTGTTTTTGGAACTGTTTCTTTGACATACTTCAAAGCCATATTTGACTTAACGTTGCGATAGCTAAGTTGAGCTTGCTAACAGTAGCCTGTGCTGTCGCACACTGACCCCTTCAAAACAAATCACTATTTGCTCAGAGGCTAATGTATGTAAGCTAACACAGCTAGCTAATAGTTAGCTGGATAGCTAGTGACTTAGAAGCTGGCGACTGGGCGAAAAACCCCTGTAAAAATTGAATACAAACGGAAAGAATAGCAGCGGATCTCTCTGAATCGAAGGTAAGTTATTGACGGACATATCGTCATAAGTTTGAGCAATGAGCCAACATTAACTCTGCTGCTGCATCGACAAAGTTGAACCCAAGTTGGAGAGCTAACGTTATTTAAGTTGGCTAACTGGCCGCAGTAACGTAAATTTACTTAACTTACACCATAACCATAAGTCGCTAATTAGCATTAGCTGACGTGCTAATCAGGGGGAAGCAGGAACTAACGTAAAGTTAGCAAAATAGTTTAGTCGGTTAACTTTTTGTTGAAGTTGTCAATTGTAGCATCGCATTGTTCAGGAAACGTTACGTTAATGTTGGCTAATCGGCTAACATTGCCGTAGCAATTTATTTAAGTCATGTTAGCTTAGTTCGATCACTTAAAGCTTGTTAACGTAGCATAGTCGATACTTTGGTTTAACAGCTGCAGCTGAGCGACATCGACATAAACGTTAGCGAACGTTAATTATTGTATTGATTCGGACATTCGGAGTTAACGTTGAGGTAGTTGAGGCCAACAGCAACGAATCTGCCGGGTTTCTGGGTTAATTTGTGCATTAAGTCAACTTAGGGACGGATAAAGACGAAAGGGGCCCGTGCGACTACTGTGACGTGTGCAAATAACAGCGAGGGCGGTAATTACTGTCAAGTAATTCTACCTTGTGTTGTCCATTTATCTTGTATTGTTTGATAGTGGTGTCTCTATTGGAGTTGAAGTAAACAGAAACCTGAGCTAATACCGCAGTCAGTTGATGTGCACTTCATGCCAAAAGCTACAGTGGCTCAGTTAGCATTACTTAATCAACACAGCAGCTTGGGCCTCATTGTTTTAAAGTCGTAACACACATATGTTCCCATTTCTTACCATCCAAAATATTAAGAAGGGAGCGGATACATCATTTTTGGTCTTTGATTGATCCATTGTTTTGAACTATATCCGTGTATTATCAGCTGTCATCACATGTTAGATAATAATGTCAAATGCCCATCTCAAGTTATGAAAGGTAATTAATAATGTGAAAGGAAGAACCCCAAAAGGATCTCTCTATATTTGTGAAGCAGAATTCAAAAGCTAAATGTAAAGTCGCAGTATGTTCGGACTATCATCTGTGTATAAAACATTACGATTAAGGTCTGTCCACATAGTTTTACAACTTCAGTGCAAGTAAGCAGAGACAGGACGGGTCAAATGGTTTGTCCTCTGAACTCCACCATTGCAGATTGTATGATCATTGTATCGTATGTAAATCTGTATCTAGTGCGTTACGCTAAACATTCAGTTGCATCGTTGAATTTACAAATTGCAAGTCAAGCTGGAGTTCATGTAAAAGCATAGAGTGAATTACATGAATTTCCTGCCTTGATTTCACTGCTTTCTAACTTGCCTAATTACAGACTGTTGTTTGCACACAACATCCACAGTGTGCGCGCCATTGTTCCTTTTTTCAGCGTCAGTAACCGTGCCAGTAGACTGTTTTTGTTGAGGTAGCCACTGGTGGGTTCTATTTTGGATTTAAAGTCAAGCATTTGCTTTCCTGCTCCGTGTCCACAGGGAGCGTTCGGCGGGTTATTATTGCACTTGTGTACTCTGTAAATGCATGCCAGATGGACGCTACTGCTGCATGTGCATGAAAGGGTCCGCCCCAGAAAAAGAAATAGGAAACAAAAAAGGAGGAAGCACTTTAATTTCCCCACTCAGTTTTACTTCCATGATCAACAGTAAGTAGCATGTTACTCAGACATAGTTGTTTGCTCGGATGAAGCTAGCAGATGTAAAAAAAAAGAAAAAAAAGGTGATGGTGGTGTCACAGCTGCCCCTGTAACCACAGAGGAAAAACAAACTAAACATGCTTTCTTTGTTAGAGATTGGCTAATTCGATGCTTTTCTATCATTTTAAGATTCTCCATTTACCATCAACTGAGTCAGCATTTAAAAGCCTCTGCTGATGGTACGGAACAAAAAGATGCTGATCAAAGCTTGTTAAGCAGTTGTCTGAGTATGGAAGAATGAGCCCTCATACCAGTGTAGTTCGAGACAACAAGGATCATGCATATGCTCTTAGTGTGAGGATGGTAACAGACCGTAATCTTTCACTTTCCTTTCCAGGAGTTCACATTACTGTAAATAGCCTATGTTATAGGTATAGTTTAATAGCATCGCTGTACTCCTGGCAGTAATATGTGATACGGGCCAATAGGCTGTAGCCTACAAGAAGTTCACAAAATGTTTAACGCAAAACCTCTACGTCCATTTGTCTCTCGGGGAAGCGTGAATACCCCCGTTGAGTTAATACTTGATTTGTTCAGATGTAATTCTCTATGAAGCTTTGGGCATCAGTGTTGAGTATTTTAACCTAAAAGACACCTCATTTTTAAATGCGTGTGCCTTTTAATTTAGACTTGGTGAAACTACAGCTTGTGGAACTTTTATAGTACCAAATGTCAAAGTGAATAATGTTGAATAGGGATAGTTTTATTTTTTCATTTAATGAAATTCATTTCTGTACCTTTTTATATATGTCCTGTATTTTGACTACATTTGGGAAAACTAAAACTATTGAACAAAACTATTTCAAACATCCACAAGATAACAGCATTATGATAGACCCATCAAAACATATGTTAAGTTGTTGAACAGTATATATATATATATATATATATATATATATTTAGCCCCTGACCCATGCATAGTTCAATACAATGCCTTTTTAAATGACATTTGAAATCCTTTTTTTGGTGCTACATCTCTGATCACTGGTTATGTAAATGGGTTTAATATGTTTTTAGTGACTTTGAAATAACATACAGCCCTTAAAGAGACCACACATCATTTCGGAATAGTTTTATTAACGTCGTGTAGTTGCTTCTAAAATCCTATTGCACATATCTAATGATCTGTGTTTGTTTGGTGTGGTGCAGGTTATGGTGAGCCTTCCAGCCTCTCTTCTCCTAAAGAGGCCTGCGTTCTAAGAGGAGACCCATGCTGATAAATGCCAGGCCTCGCCACACTCTCTGTTGTCTGCACAAACACAAATGCCTGCCTGCCCAAGGGGGAGGTCTGATTAAAGATATCCGCATTTCATCCTCTGGTACGTATGAACATTTTACTGTGTTTTTGTGATTGCACAGTCCATGCCTACATTTACCATAACACCAATAAAGTAACGACGCTTAATGTAAACAATATATTATTTTGAATGAACTGCCTATATGATTTGTCAACAGATGTATTCATTTCCTGCTTTATCCATCTTAATTTGATCATAATTTACATTGTTAGAAAAGGGTGTTCTGTGTTTTTGCTGGTGCGAGCACCAAGTGCACGTGGGAAAATAGTTTTAAGACTCTTTTTTTTCAGGGGGGGAGTGGGGAAAAAGACTGGTGTCTATTTTTTACTTAATGCAGCCCCTCTAAACATAATCTGTGCCACAAAAGGACTTACTGCAAGTGAGAGTGCCGTCTTGATGTTTCAGATATTTTAGTTTTAATCCTCTACCTTCCATCTTTGTTTACATCCATCCCTGTCCCCTGCTTCCTTCCCCACCTACCCTTGACTCTTCCCTTCCCTGCTGCTTTCTTTTGTTGTTCTGGCTACTGCTGGGCTCTGTTTTTCTCTCTTCCTTTCCTTTCTCCTCACTCTGTTGTTGCGGTCCAGGGCTGTGTGCCCCATCCCGGCGGCCACCATGTTTTGGAAGTTTGACCTGCACACCACCTCCCACATTGACCAGCTGCTGGACAGGGATGACGTGACGCTCAGAGAGCTGATGGAGGAAGACGACGTCCTGCAGGAGTGCAAGGC